AAAATAAGTGAAGGTCTAAAATCAGGCTCCTGTATCTATATTTACGCACAGTGAGTGAAAAGTGTATAGTGTAAAGCTATAAACAAAAAATACTTTCTAGGAAAGGTAGTGAGCTTTGCTTACAACTCAGCACTTTTGAAAATTGGATCATATATCCTCATCTCTGAATAAGGGTCCAAGAACTCAGCTTTACTAGATGACGTGGTTATAACCACATAGCATCAAGATCTAAAAAGTAAAGAATTATTAGAATAACAAGCACCCTTATTGAATTGGTTTTGTGCTGCTAGCATGATCTAATTGTTAAGTCATCTCTGCACATGCTACAGGGTTTGGTGACAATTTACAGGAAATCAGAGATTGAAATACTGTATTCTTAACCCAGATTATTTTGCATAACCTTATTTTTTCTGTAGAAGTCCATGGCACAGTTTATGAAGTTGAAGGAATGGATTTACCAAAAGCCAGGTCTGCTGCTTTTTAAGGGGTGCTATCTGACTGATGTGTGAGGAAGTACTTTAACGCCTGATCTCAAGTGAATCACTGCTCTCTTATCCATGTCCATAAAATGATGTTTTCAAGGATTCTTTTGAGAATTTTGTTTCTCCTCCTTTTTCCCCCCTTCTCTTCAAGCATTGACCTTCAGCTGTCACCTTCCGTTTCTGTGAAAGGATGGGCAGAACTCTTAGAACACTAGAACACTGTTCTAGTGAACAGTGCTGGCAACCTCTCAAAGTCTTGTACACTTCAGCTACAACCTGAAATTTTCATATGCTTCCCTGAATTTTGGGAGATTGGATATCTTGAAATAATTTTTTTTCCTCTTAGTTTATTGGAAGATTTCCAGTATTTTCTGTAGGGGGTAGTGCCATAAATGCAGAGTTGGGTTTTTTTATTTTCTATATTTCCTGTTCTCTTCCCTACTTCAGAAACAGAGATGTGTTTAATTTTTGATAGCCATTGAAAGAAAGTGAAGCAGTTTAGTAAACCTGGGATGAAATCCCAGATCGCCTTCCTCTGAGTACAGAGCTCTGATCATTAGCCTGAAGCCAGGCTCCTTCTTTCTTTTTTACCTCCTAGCAGCTTTCAGTAGCAGTCCATTATCAGCAAGAAGGAAAAGGAGAATATCTACGTGCCCAATACCCAGAAGCTTTGTGCTTAGGATGGCTTAGGATGCAGGAACTAAAGATTTATCCCCCTCTTACTCTCTACTACATTTACCCCTGACCTTTACCACAAAATGTGGAATTTAATTCTTATTCCTCTCTTCAAGGGGCATAATGGGCACAGATACTTGCTTTGAGGCCCTGATGTGTCTGCCTATGTAGACATATTCCCTTCCTGATCAACTATCTTTAGATTTCTCCTTACTGTACATTTGATTATGTACAGATGTGTATATTCACTCTTTATAATGAGTGTACCTTAATGTAGGCTTTTTGACTTACCCACTGGAGGATATGAGCACTGTCCATCTTTTCTAACCTCTCAGGGACATATCTATCGCATTCTTTGATCTCCCAAGAAGCATTATCTTTTTTTACTCAGAAAAGTTGCCATGCAGAACTTGAGAAAACTGTGTTTGTCCAGGAAGTTTGGTGACATGGTGAGAACTGCCCTGGAACAATTGTTCCTGAGGAACAATTTCTCTCCTCTGGGCAGCAAAGGAGAGAGTGCAGAGAGGAATCGTGGACCCCAGAAACACTGCATTTGATCTGTGCTTTGCTGTAGATCTGGTGATTTCAGGAAGTCTGACAGACTCAGTGAGCGTGTACTTCACATTAGTTTTGTGTTTGTACAGTGAAGATGTGTTGTAGAAGCATTGAGGTTATCCTGTCCCTGCTACTGAGCACACAAACACCTATTTTTCTTGTGGAAATGCCAGACAAACACGTGGTGGCTTTGAGATAAGAGGTGTGACTGTGTTTTTCACTGAGGATAATTTTTGCCCTTCACCCCCCCAGTTTTTTATGTATGTATTTCTTATGTAAGGAAGCTTCTTGACTATCTCTGAGATACATATTCAAAGCTGTGAGGTACTTGGTTCAATGTTAGTAGAATACAGTAAAATTCAATTAGATTTCTATAAAATCACTGTTCAGAATTGTTGCTCTTCACTTTGGGTAATAGTAACAGCAAAAATTATGAACTGTTTACACAGTGCAGTGAATGTTTTACCCTACTTCCTTTTTTCAGTTATGGATAACACATACAACCCACTGCTTACCTTCTTTAACAATTTTAATATTTAAAGAACTCTATAAATCCTCAAAACTGGTATTGTAAAGCTGCAACCAGTTTTAAGACTGCTTGGATTTAAAATTCATGATGATATTGTAGTAGGGCCTGTGCCATATCCCAGGAGTGGACTCCTGCTGTAACAGCCTACAGTGTTGAGTTAGGTACAGTTTCTGGCTCAAAGAAATTGCAGCCAGTAGCCTGAGTAAGGGCACAGTAACAGAATATGTAAGTAGTGGTCACAAATTTTATGATGCCTTAAATGTGTTTACTCTCTTAATTCTTTAGGAGGAATTTAAACGGGCAGGAATTAGTCAATTTGAAAAGCAGAAAACAGCAAAAGGCTGAGGAAGAGAATGCTCAAATTAACAGAGAAGAAAATGGAGGAAATACACTGACTGTAAGAAGCTAGAGGGTTGAGACTCTAGAATACATACAAGAAGGGAAAGTGGAGTTGAGTCCTGGTAGACCAGGGAAATAGTGGAAAATAGCAAAATAATCCAGAGGTGTCTTTAGCCTGGAAGTGCTAATCAGTTCCTGGGCTGCTGAATCAGTTGTGCCTGCATCCATGAGTCCTAGCAGCCTGTTGGACTGGAAATCCAGTTCAACCAGCTGCTTTGAGGTGACGAAGCTCCCCCCAAACCTGAGCAGGTTCAAGATCCTCCACAGAAGCAAACAGTTGACTCCAACACAGCTACAGATCTGGGGACTCATCACCATAATTTCTTTCTCCCAACCCAGCGCTATATAGGAACTAGGGTTACTGTGATATAGTAAAATACTCTCTATGTATTTCAAAATAACTTGCTGTCTAATGCAAGCTGGAAGAAATACATGTTCAGTGATTTTAGAAAATGAAATATTTGTTAATTCATTCTGCAGAACTGTAACTATAGATTTAGTAACAAAATGGCAGGGTTATTAGATAGTTACTTAAATGTACTTACAGTACTTTATACTTTGAAACGTACAGATAATTTTTAGATCGCTGTGTTCGCTTTGCCAAGATTTCTGCAATGCAAACAGGGAAACTGACAGGCAAGAATATTTTTGCAGTTTATTATTCTTTCTCCTCTCAAGGTCAAACAGTCTTTCCTATGTATAGCTACTACAGTGGTTGGGGATTAATTCTGAGGACTTTGGAAACTATACCTCTGAAATGTGTCATGTTTTGCGAGGGATGCCTAGCATCTGTTCCTGTCTCAGGGCTTTTCTTGTCCTTTAGTTGTGATAGTCTTTATTAAGGAGTCCTTGTTTTTAAAGCCACAATAAATTTCACTTCTGAGATTCTGAGAAAGCAAAAGGTGGGGAAGGAACGTGAAAGAGTGAAGTAAAAATAGCCCAGATGAACTGGCCACCTTCCATCTTTCTTCTTTTGCAACTCAGTGCATAGTTTGATATCTGCTAGTCCAACACCAATTAACTTTATAGAGGTCCACTCCTTTTGGGAGAGCTCTGACAACATATTAAAAGGAGAACAAGCTGCCTCCTTAGTCGAGAATCTTCCTGGAAAGGACCAGAAGTCTCTATGCCCTCTGGGCCTAAGGTTCAAGTCTTTCTCCAATCCTGATACAGATGGGCAGAACTCTGAAAAAATGTACAAACTCCATAATTTTTTTTTTTCCTCCTCAGTCTCTCCAACCCTATCTGACTGTTATGTGTGTCCTGGACAGATTTTCTCTGTCTTTGCATTTATGATTGAATTATATTACTTTTGTAATTAAAATAATGAAGCCAAGACTGAAGAAAGGAACATTCATATTAAAGGAAAAGATTGGTGGATTGTCAGGTTTCCTGGCTGAACAGTGTTGGTAGCACTCATTTTGGGTGTTTCAATATATGGTAAGCTGAAGAGCATTACAATTCTGAAAGAGTGAGTCCTCCAGCCTGAAAAGTCTCACCTTATGTTCAGAAAGGGATCGATCTCTGGTCTAAACAGCAGGGGAAGGTAACCTTGATCTTGACAGCATCTGGATTTCTTTGATGCCGGGAACATGTTTTCATGTTCTCTTCTTTCACTTACTGGTAGCTTGCCTTGTTTAGCCAAGGCACACTACTACAGAGATATGCATCAGTTCATAGACATCTCATGTACTCTCCTGCTTTTTGCCACTTAAATAGCACGCCTGTATGTTGTCCCTTCATAGTTCCTAGATGATCCTGTGCAGGGTTAAGAGGACTCAATGATCCTTGTGGGTCCCTTCCAACTCAGCATATTCTGTGATTCTAAGCATTACTGGAGTTCTCAAGATTGACAATGGTTCCATTATTTGTATCACTGGTATGTAACAGTCTTTGTCACTTTCTGTTGCTTGCAGGATGTCAGAAATGTTTTGTACTGTACATAAAATCTAGTGAAAATATTTGCTGTATGATTTTCTTACTTGCAATTCTTAGGACTAAAAATAGTTTCATAAATACTTTATTTTCTGTTTGATTTTCATGCACCTACTTTGGGAAGAGAAATAAGAATGCCAGAAATATTGTATGAGCAGTAATTCTTGTTGGATGAGAAGTGAGAATGGACTGGGGAAAACCTCTGAGAGAGTGTAGTTTGATGAAATTTATTGTGCAGTTAGAAGAGAATAAAACCAGTTCTTATAAGGATAAGATTTGCCTCACCTTGAATTTCCTTAACACTCACACTGTATATTCCTGTATCACAGATTTTAGTGATTTTTTATTTCATCCAAACATGTTCCTTCTTTGAACTTTGATCTTCCTCCTTTCATGCTTTAACAGTTCTTTTGTGTTTTTCACAGACTGTTTTTGAGAGGAACTGTCAATCTGATGACTGTGCTGCTGATTTGAAACTTCATGGTAAATTACTACTGTCGAGGTGAGTAGGTGAACTTTTTTTCTTTCTTGCACACTAGTATACCATTCATCTTATGTTAAATGGCATTGAAATATCAAAAGACAAACACATATATTTAAGATCCAGATTAGAAGGATGGTGACAATGATACCACTTTTAGTGCAGAAGGGTCTTGAGATGTACACAGAATCTGAACTCCTGTGGTAGTGGGCTCTAGGCACATACAGCACAGGACTCCTTCATCTTCCCAATCAAAATTGACAAAACTAGAGAAAAAAATAGCATATCAAAGAGGGGCAGAGAAAGTAAAATTGCATGCTCAAATCAAATACCAGTGTGGACCATGTAATTTTTCAAAGAGAATAAAATACTCTTCATGACACGGTAAGAGTAAAACTGCTTGCAGAAAAGCAGTTTGTTCAAAAAGAATGTCACATGGAAAGTTGAAAAAACCCTCTGAACATGGCAAATTATCTTCTTCAATCTATCATTTTCTGTTTCTCAAATTGTAGTTTTGCTAACTTGTCTGAAATACCGCTCTGCTTTCAAATTCTTCTTCTCTGCAACTTGGGATGAGTGTCTGATTTCACTTTCTTCTGGGATAATAAACCTCATCAAATAGACCAGAGGTGAAGTTTATGTTCTGTCCCTTGTGACAGATGATCTTAGGAAAATACCTATTGTTTTGCCAGGATGTGTATTCAATTTTGGGATAAATCAGGCTAAAGCGAACACATCACTTCTGTTTCCTTTTGTGGTTTTTTTTAGATGGAAATGCTGATGTGAGTTATTTAATTGTGTGCCAGAGGTTTTGCTATTTGATGGAGAAACTCTCTGTGAAATACTTTGCTTTCAGGTCAGGAGAGAGAGGGGAAGACACTCCCCTGCTTTAGGAAAGAAAAATAAAAAACAAACCCCAAACACAAGGAATAAGTAATAGTCAGGAGATACACATATGTTTTATATAAGTCTACAGCATGCTGTAACGGTACTTGGAAACAAAACTGAACCGTAGTCAAGTCTGAGAAGTTACAGGCTTCTCCAGGCACGACTGAAGTCTACATGAATGTTTGAACTGGATACATGTCTGTGTGGATTAGAGAAGCCAGTGAAGGATTTTGTCCTGTAGTTGAGGAACAAATAGCAAGGGACAGGTCTAAAAACTTGTCAGTGTATAGTAATCACAGCAGTAAGAGCTGTAGTTGCGATTGGAGCATTTGGCTGTTTATATTTAGAGCTGTTATTTATGTTGTCTTGGCAATTTAAAAGCCACATCTGTCAAAAGAGCTTAGGATATTCAAATATAGTTTCTACGTTTGTCTAGCAAAATGCTGAACAAATGCTCTCACATTTTCTTTACCCAGTGACACTCTGAAGTCCTGTTTGAAATAAACAGGATGTTGTGAAATCCCTCTGCACAGTTATGGGCTTTCTTTACCTAAAGGGCTCTGTAAGCTTCAGTTATTAAGAAACATAACACAATGAATGTCTCTTATGAAAACAGATTTTTTTGTTGTGTTATTATTGCCTGTAAAATTACCAAAAAACGTGCTATGGATTCTGGTTTTAAACAAGTGCCTGGTAATTTTTCCAGCCCTGCGTGTTTCATGCTAAATAATCCTATCACCATTTTCCCACATTATTCCTGCTTATTCTAAGTCTATGCACAAAGCAAAATTATTATTTTTTTTTTTAGAAAGAACAAGAAAGGTGACTGTAGAGGATTGGTTAGAAATGCGAGGACATATGAACATGGCTAAGGCTATGGATGAGCTGCTAAAGTATAAGACGCAGTCTGACTAGGCCCATGAGAAAGTCTGAGATAGCAGGGCGGTGAGAAAGCAGCATCGTCCTTAAGTATTCTAAATTGAGCTGAAAAACAGGAGCTAGGCATTACCAAAACAAAGACACTTAACGAGCCACCTGTGTAAACAATGGAAAGCAGTTAAGATGATATCACCACCTAACTGAGTACCAGTAATGAGCCTAATTTCTGTAATATTCATGAACTTATTATAGAGTGCATATTAAGCTGCTGTCAATCTACAATAAACGAAGTTCCTGGATTCTCATATTGAGGTGTCTAGAGCTTTCCGTTGCGACAGGTGACTCATTTATTACTATCAGCAATAAACATTAACTTCATTGTTAGCAATGCCTTTGTCTAAATAACCACGTCTGACTAAATTTGGTGGATTTATTATTAGAAAGAATGCAATAAATGATGCACAGATACACTGGATTGAAATAAACCAGATATTTACGGGAAGGCAACAGTAAGTACTGTCTCTCAGATCTGCTGCAGCTCTTTGAAGGTGTCACTGGATCAGTGGATAGGATGGTTTGATTAAGATCTTCTACTGGGGTTTGCGAAAGACTTTTATTAAGATTTCTCATCAGGGGTTCACAAAGAAAGTAAGTTGCCCAGATCTGAGATGAATGGTGCCCTGAGTATTACTACTTAACTAAAAGGTAATCAACAAGAAAAGGTTTAAGTAGTTGATTTTGATGGTGGTGAGAACTCTACAAATGCTAGTGATATTCAGCACATTCACAAATTATATGGGAAATAATCTGCTAGAAAGTAATGATAAAGTTTGCTAATCATACTAAACTATTCATAGCATTGAAAATAACAAAGGAGGAGGTAAGTTTTCATGAAGTGTGTGATTAATCTGTGGATTTTACTGTTTGGGGTACTGTAAGTTCTGAGAGTGTATGAATGCTGGAAGCTGCAGAAATATATCAGCAAAATGCCATTCTGTGCTTGCCTTGCTCTTCCATATCCTCTTGCTTTTAGACATAGTTGGATACAGGGCTCTCTGCTAGATGAACTGACTGTGCTTATGCACTTTCCTTAAATTTGTAGCGTGTTAGAGCCAAAAGCTGTTCAGGGAGCTGTATATGGCAGGGTATAGTTTTGGTCATCACTATATATGCTTTCAAATCTGTGCTGGTTAGAGCATATATGTGTATAGAAAGTCAACTCAAATTACATTATCATCAAGAGAATTGTTTGCTGAGGTCATTCTTATGAGCTTAGGATCTCTACAAGCGTTCACCTGGGATGTGTTTGAATCATTAAAATTACCAAGTTAAAAGATCACATCCAGCTTTGAAGATATGAAACCCACATACCAAATGACTAGTAGGAAAACCAGCCCATGCTGGCAAGAGTTAACCAGGTCTGCTCTAATTTTACTTTTCTTGGTATCTTGCTTCTCTTCTGAAAACTTATTCCTGTGCCCTTAAATTGGGAGCACTTTACTTTGATGAAAACAAATAAATAGCCCAGGATGTTAACACTCAAAGTGATGACCTCACAGATGGCCATTTATCCAAAGTGCTAAAACCAAACAAATCTGCATGTGTGAGTTAGAAACTTCACTGCTGGTCTGGCCAGATATGATTGGGTTTGCATCATTATTTCATGGTGTTTGAGGACCTGCTACATGTTGAAACGGCACTGCTGGGCAAACTGGAATCCTCTGCTGTGAATTTGTAGAAGAGGGTAAGGCAGAACTTCTTGGAAGCAGGTGATGATAAAAAAAATGTTAAAGCCTTATAACTCTGTCTGGAGGCTTTTGCAAAGACTTAGGAAGCTGGAAATGGGATGTATTCTTCCTTTGAATGCTTCTGTTATAGTGAAAGTTGTCCTTGGAGACTTGGGCTCCAGTACATGCTTTACTGGAGTGAAGAAGACTTAGGATGCATTTATTCTGGAAAGAAAAAGGTTTTATTTCAGTTAACAGATAAAGCTCTTCAAGGCTTGTGCACCTTCATTATCATCCATTTGCATGTAAACGAATCCCAACTTCCTGAAGGGATTGTTGGACGAAGGAGCCAAACTGTTCTTGCTTGTGGCAGATGCAAGAGAGGCAAGAGTCACAGACTGTGGCTTGACAGGTTCAGAGCAGAGATATGGTAAAAACCCTCTTGCATAGGCAGTTCATACTGCAGAGGAATGAGACATGCAGAGATGGTGTGCTCTGCCATCCTGAGTTTCAGGACTTGTCTGGGTAAGGTTCTTGCTGACCTCATCTGTTGCTGGCAATGTACTGTGTCAAGGTGGATGAGGATGGATTTTATGATCTCTAGAAATCCCTTCCAACCAACTCTTCTGTAGTGTTCTGAGTGTCTTGAGGTAAATCCTCTCTGTAACCACAGCAAAATTGCTTGAACAAAACCAGCTCTTCTCCAACACAGAAGCATCTGCCTAGGGATGGTTAAGGGTCTTCCAGTGCTGTGGCTGGAAACCTGCCTATGGGACTCTGTGTCTCTTGCTGATACCATCTCTGCTACCTGGCAAAGCAAACTGGGGATTTAACTTTCTATAGCAGACATTATGAGATGGCATGTAGAAACCCCTGCAGCAGTGTGTGCTAGTATTGTTAGACATGGTCTTTCTAGTGGCTGGCCTGGACTTTCTCACAGGACTATGGGTGTTGTTAGCCTAAAACTACAGATGGCAATTTAAAAATAAGGAAAAAGGGTCCATGGAATGTCCTGGGGACTTCATGAAGGCACTGTTAGGAGAGACTGAAGGAGCAGAAGAGAGGTATTTCATCTTTCCAGTCATGACTGTTTTCAAATCCATTTTTCTTGAAGAATAAATATGTGAAGTTTTCACAGCACAGAGCAAGAGAGATGAATCACTGCCTTCCCTTCAACAATTCTCCAGTATTAAGTCTTGCAGCTGTCATCGGAGATGGCAAAATCTGGCCTTATTCATGCAGTAATACCCTGTGGGTAGTGGTCGTGATGATTGCTAAAGGAAGAGACTTAAAAGTGTCTTAGTGTAAAGAATATAATTATGTATAGCACACAGGTTTTTGTAATGACACAACATGAAACCATAAGAGAAATAGGAATAAAATATTTTGTAATAAGCTTTATTTTTATGACCATAGTTTAGGAGAGCAGCAGAAACCAGGTTTCCTTTCCAGCAATCCAGTACTGAAAAACAAAATGTTATGTTAGTTATTATTTTAAAACACTGTTTAATATTAAAAATATATCTA